CAAGTTTCCACAGTTAGAAAATGGTAGAAAGTCATAAAGCATTTAAACACAATCTGATTCCAGAGCTGTTTCTTAATAGTTTGCTGTTCTACCTGGAACAAATTCAGTGACTATTTACCTGTCTGTCTAGGTGTAAGTATCTTCCCCTGGGAATTGAGCAGATTAAGACTTAAAGTCACAAAAAGGATGTGCATAACTTTTGTGACCAGAAATATGTAAATTACCTTGAAAAATCCAATCCCATAAGTCCTAGGCCACAAAACATCTGCTTTAAATATGGTATCTTTGATTGGATCCTGAAACAGAAAAAGATCCTTAGTGGAAAAACTGGTGAGAATTATGAAATAAATATCTGAATAAGTCTATAGTTTAATTATTTATTGTCTATGTTAATTCCTCAGTTTTTATGATATTAAGATGTTAATATTAGGGGAAACTGGGTAAGAAGTATACATACAGAACCCAATAGTATCTAGCAACTCTTCTGTGCATCTAAAATTACTCCAAAATAAAGTTTTTTAAAATCCCAAATTAAAAAGAATCACAAAGTCTATTTTGATTTGAAAGGAAATGGTCTTTCTTATTTATTTATGTATTTATTATTGCTGTAGGTGGACACAATACCTTTATTTTATTTATTTCTATGAAGTGCTGAGGATTACACCCAGTGCCTCACAGGTGCTAGGCAAAGGCTCTACCACTAAGCTATAACCCCAGCCCCTGGTCTTTCCTTTTAAGACCCTTCAAAATATAAATATTTTCAAAAGTAACTAACATTTTATTTACATTGGAAACATTGTACATTAGATTTTTTAAAATCTGATATATTTTAATTAGATTAAAATAGCCAACAGTGAAATGTTTGGGCCATTCTGTACCTCAATTTTAAATTAATATATGTTAAATGCATTTTCTAATTTATCATAAGATCCTGTCTTTAAGAAATTAATCCAGAAAAAAAATTCAGGAAATGATTTTTACTCAGTTAGTAGCCTTAAGGATTTAAATTGCTG